CAGAATTTTCATTTTTGGGTGAACTAACCCTTTAATAAAGAAACATGTTTTTAACAGTATTTTTATGCCTTTATTTTTATGTGCATATGTATATATATATATATATATATATATAATTTTGTATGCATTAAAAAAAAAAAACAAAAAAAAAAAAAAATCAATTGTATTGTGCTGTGCAGGCATTGACTATAGTGTGCAGACACTGAATTTGGGGGACAGTCATGTGGCTCTTCAGTTATGGGACACTGCAGGCCAAGAAAGGTGAGGCCCTGATACCTACATAGTACAAACAGGATAGAGTTTTGCATTAATACAATTATTATCGTCTTGTTTAGGACATTTACATTCAGCTTGAGTCTGTGTTCTTTATTTTTGTTCCTCAGTCTGTACTGTTATCCTTTTAAGCATCTCTGAAAAGCTTGTCATCTAGAGTAATTTATTGCATAACCAAAACATAATCTCACTTGTCACTGATGATAAACATCCAGCATTAATAAAAAGCAATGTCACTGTGTCCTGCAGGTATCGCAGCATTACCAAGCAGTTTTTCCGTAAGGCAGATGGCATGGTGGTCATCTATGACATCACAATGGAGGACAGTTTCAGATCAGTCCGCCCCTGGCTGACCAGCATACAGGAGGCCGTAGGCGACCCTATACCCGTCATGCTCCTTGGCAACAAATCGGACAAGGAGAATGAGAGAGAAGTGCAGACAAAGGAGGCCAATATGCTAGCAGAGGTGGGGACGTCTCTTATGCTGTCAATCACACAGTATATCATAGTCAAATATAAATTAAATATTAATAATACCTAATATGCTCTGTTTTTACCCAACATCACCTTATTCAACACAGCAAGCACAGATTAATAGTATTTGCTATATTTGATAGGAAGTAAACTTGATGTTCTACGAGTGCAGTGCTTATACTGGAGCTAATGTGCTGGAGGCCATGATACATCTGGCCAGGTAAGAACTCAAAAAACATGCGAATGCAACATGTTGTTAAACATTGACATATTTTGTTTAGCTGTGATGTTTGTAACACCTCAGCCACAGCTGCAACCCACAAAAAAGTTATAAAACTGAGACAGCTAACCGACAGCAAACATTATCAGATGTCAACCAGCTTGCGGTTTTCTTTTGTATCTTCAAAGTGCGATTAAAAATGCGACTTTGCAGATTGTGTGAACCTTATGTAGTTTATTTACTTTGAAAGGCCCACTAAATGTGCCTGGTGGCAGCCATGTTGAGATCACATGACCAGCCCAATGCTAAGTATATCTCAGTATCTCCACTATAATCAGACAATTTCAGCTGTTGAATATATTACATGGGAGAGTATTTGTACACACAAAACATATTTAGGAAAAAATTATATATATATATTATTTTATATTATAAGTATTTTAATGAACACTGATATGTAAATACAACTTGTTTATTATTTGTTATATTATTATTGTTGTTTTATTTATTTTAATTAATGCTTTAAGGGTCCTGAGGGAGCAGGAAGACAGAATATGGGTGAACACGGTCAGACTGGTGGATCAACCATTAAAGAAGAAAGCCTGCTGCTAGTGACCACACACACACACAAACACATGGGTGAAATCACTCTATGCTTTACATATCATCACCACACCCTCTTATATTCAATGTAAATAATTTAATGTAGGCTGAAAGAGGACAAATTCACTTATACTTGAATCAAAAATTAATAGTGTAATGTGTTAAAAGGTTTTTCATGTCCATTTGTCAAAGAGCATTGTATATCTGTGTTCATCTGATGTGTGTCCAACTGTAGATGAAGTATATTAGTCTCAGGACACTTCATCACACCTCATTTAAATGATCTTTGTCCATATTCTATTTGTTAAGGATACCAATTGTCAATCACAATACATTTATGGAGAACATGTGTTCAGTCAAGATGCGTGTGACAAATGCAGTTCAGCCAGTTTATCCCACACAACCAAGTGAGTGAGAACAGAGTCATTCAAGAAAAATGTTATTGTTTGTTACTTCCCATTTATTTAGCATTGCAATAGCCTCATTCAACCCATCTGAAGTCTTGCTAGCATCATGAAACCTGGATTTCAAACTGGCCAGTAAAACCTCACTGCTTGAACAAGAAGCATTTCAGTTGCTGTGCAGAGACAGTTCAGTTGACGACAACAACATGAAGCACTAAAATCTTCAGATATATTATTGAGGCTGGATTCAGTGTCGAACATGTCATGCCTCGTTCGTTGTCTTCATCTGAACTGCTCTGCTCGTCTTGTTTTACACAGAGGAGCAAACATCGGTGGCTCCAACAGACAATGACCTGACAATTGAACGAGAACACGAAACCAAAAATATTCTTAAGTTAAAACTGTCACATTATGTTACTCTAAAATAACAAAGTTTGTACATTTGATGAGAATGATTTAAAATAGTGTAGCTGCTCTTAGAGGTTCTTTAGAAAAATCTTGAAGTGAAATCTTGAGTGAATCCTGAATAAATTCAAATAAAGCAAAGGCAGAAAACACGCCAGTGGTCACTATATTAAACAACTCAACACTAACCCAATAAATATAACACAATAAAAGCACTTAAATATAAGCAACACATCAAATATGAAGTGAAAAAATGCCATTCATGCTCTTTTCATGTATGCATCCAAACTGAAGCCTTGTTCGATGAGGCACTATTGTACGATTTCACATTGGCATTGCCGTTCGGTAACATCTTATAAGGTTAAATAAACACAAACTTTGACATTCTCAGACTCATTAACAGTTACATTCAGAGTGATGTTTTCACAGTCTATCCTCTATGTGCATTTTAGAAGGTGACACGTGATGACACTATTGCTTTTAGTGCTGGACTCGCACTGATGACATCACCGAGGGGTCCTGCAGTTCAGCAGCCTCTCTGATCCAGACAGAGGCAGAGGAGAGGCACATTCCGTCTCTCCGCCGAATCTCCCTGGGAAACGGTGGCCTGACTCAGGATGCCGCTCCAGTTTTACCGCATCTTGTAGTCGTGGGAGATGGCTGCGTCGCAGAGCTGTCCTTTGAAATCCAGCTCAAAGGTGAAGTCCAAGTCACGCTGGAAGAAATCAAATTTGGCTACTTCAGTACTTTTTCAGTACATTTTGTTTCTTGTTTTTTTCTAAACCAGTGGTTTTCAACCAGAGGGCCGGGACCCACTAGAGAATCTCAGCACACTTCCAAGGGGGCCACAGGATGGCTTAAAACGCTAAAATGAAGATCTGTTTCTCAGAAATTAATACAATCTTGGAAGTCATGGAAAATTTTGAAATATATATAATTTTTTCTAGTTATGTTAAAGGAGGAACTGCTATTTGCTTAAAATGATTTAAAATAAGTTAAAATGATTTTAAAACAAGCTAAAAATAAGCTATAATGGCTAAATGAAGATGTATTTCATATTTTAATTTGTTATACTGTATGAGAAAATTAAAAAGAGGGATTTCTAGACATGAAAAAAACATGTCAATGAATACAATCTTTAAAAAAAAAAGTAATGGGAAAATTTGTAATAAATATAAACTTTTTCCAGTTACGTCAAGTTCTAAAATATTTTATTGGGAAGATATTGCTATTTGCAAGATGGCCTAAAATGGTTTAAAATAAGCAGCTAATATGAACGTGTTTCTTATTTTAATTCCTTTTTTTTTAAAGTGATTTCTAGACCTGAAAAAGTCATGGAAATTAGTCAAATCATAAAAGGTCATGGTATTGTAAATTCTTTGGTAATGAAAAGTGTAAACCCTGAAGAACATTCACTTCAGTAAATTCTATAATTTAATTATTTTAATTATTAATAATTATTTAATTTAATTATTTTAATACATTGTCAAGTTTCTGTAAATTAAAAAAGCTTAAAAATAAACAGCTTTGTCATTACAGCAGAAGTACCAGAAATATCTTGGAGGACCTTCAAATATTGTCTTTGACAATGGGAGGCCTTGGGTCAAATAGGTTGAGAACCACTGTTTTAAAGATTAGATTTCTCTCCATCTCCATTCACAACCTCACCTCATTATTCTCATTGGGCTTCATGGTGATGCTGCCCAGGATTTCCTCTCCTCTCCGCACCGTTAAGTAATCCTCCAGATAAAACACCGTCTGCTTCCAGTGAGTGCTGGGAGCGTCGGGGGCTTGAACGGAATGTACGACTCGGTTAGTACCAGATTTATTTGTAAGTGATAATAAGGTACAGAATAAGTGACGGCTGAACCTGTAGAAAAGCCAGTCTTCTTGTGACACTTGGTGAACTCAATGTTGAAGTACGTGACGAGAGCATGAACATAGTCATTCCTCTGGATCTGCAGGCAGAAGGCCGAGGTGAATGTCAGATCCTCCGGCTTCACCGTGTAGATATCCACCTCCTGAAAGCGATACGTCACGTTTCACACTTTTTGGCATAGAGATTGTTTATGTAGAGATTATGATTGGCCCGCATACTTGCACTAATTCCTTTGATGATAGGCTATGAGATACTCAAGCTGTGATCTACTGTAAGCTTGAAGTGTAATGTGGTTTATGTCATATAGCCTTAACCCACACATCACAACAGATCTGGTTTCAAAGACTTTATTGTTTGGATGTGGCCATATTGGTGCCTGTTTAAGTAGAGGAGTTGGCACAAGCATCAGCCTTGGTGAACAAAGATCCTATTACTCCTTGTGCGAACAACAGATCAGTAGCAGCATTGACCCTTTCATTTGTTCAATTCAACTTTTCATTTAGTACACCTCACAAAGAGGCCGAAATCATTCTCCTCTTCAAAGAGTTTGATCCTCCAGGTGATTCAGAGCCTCGTTGAAAGCATAGCCTTCTCTTCTGTTCTTCTTTCTTTCTCTTTCGTTCTTTCTTTCTTTCTTGTTCATTTGCTGGCGGCTATCCAGCTTTCTCTCTGTCCCCTACATTGTCTCTTTTTCTTTTGACATATTTGACATTCAATGTCTTCAGTGTCACAGATCATAAACTTGCTCATGCAAAATAAGGATATTACTGCTCATAGTTTGCTCTTTTAGAGCTCAGGATTCTCAAATAAGACAAACTTAAATTTATTAACTCAGATGTTTCTCTGAGACAAAATGAGACAATTGTTGAAATACAGTAAGATTACAGAGTCACGGATATAGAAATATAGATAGCTTATATCAGGTACTTTGAGAATTAATACTAAGATCTGATTATATTTAACCTTTGCTTTCTAGATAAGATTGAGCACAATTTGAGACATTGAGATGTGAGATTACTGTGGTCTTTTTTTAACAGAATTAGGCTAAAATTTCAGCAGTGTCTTGTGATGTGACATGCAATAAATTAAACCTATTTTAAACATTTAAAAAAATAATTAAAACAACTAATTTACTATTAAAATTATTTAAACGATTTTAAATATTTGTCATTTAAATTATATATTATATTATATTATATTATATTATATTATATTATAAATTTAATCTCATTCCTGTTTGGGAGAAATCATTGAGATATTAAAGAAATCTCGTTTGTGATTTTTCTTTCCTACTGTATAGGACAAAGCACTTTATTACAACAAAATGTAAGGCTTCAAATTACCTATATGATGGTATTATTAGCATTATATCCCATGAAGAGTAATTTCTGTTAGCTCATTTAAATGAATGATTTGTGTTTGTGCATGTTTTGAGTTGAGTTGAACACACGTTACCACGCTGTCATCAGGTGCTCTTTACTGCGAATTATTCTGTTTTGTAACGCCCACACTACATGTGTTCCAAAGTAGCCTATCAGTCAGTACTATGATTCAGTTCAGATCTTGCTCCCATATACACACATATAGAGCACATACTGGTACCTTAATCAGGCAGGAGTTGGTCACGACTTGTTTAGGATCTACTATGTCCACCAGGGGCTCCATCATAGCAACGTTCCGAATGCACGTCATGTCAAAACCATAGACATTCTCCCACCCTGCAAGCATAGAGAAAATATATTTTTAAGACATTTTAAACTCATATGTGCCTGAAAAAGCAGAAAATCTTTCTGGCTGTGTCTGGTCGTCTTCATTTGGCCCTAAAATAGACTCCTGCCTCCTCTGTGTCTGGCAGCATTTGATTACATCCCCTCACATGAGCGTTAGGCCGAGGCGAATCTCACACTTCCATCCAAAACAAGAAGGAGGGAGTGAAAGGGATTGAGAAAAAGCAAACCTCTTGCTGCGGGGGAGTAATGGAACCCAACAGGATTTTTTTCTAGTGTTTTTCAATTCTTTTTAAAGCTAAATAAAAGTAAGGTACCTAAATGAGCCACTGATCAAGCTACATTGCAGAACAAGAAACAGATTCAGTATTAAATGCTCATTTAATACAGTACCTATTGGCAAATGGCAGTAAGTGTGTGTGCGTGTGTGTGTGTGTGTGTGTGTGTGTGTGTGTGTGTATATGCAAGTGTTTGTACTCACAGTGGATTTTGAAGTCTTTGTATTGCCGATCCTCAATGGCAACCACATACAAAGTCGCTCTGTCTGGAAACATGAAACCACCAGGTTTCTGAAAACGACAGGAAAGAGAATCTACAGATCACCACTGAAAAAGATTAACGGATAGTTGATGTATGTCCAACATATTTTTGTATTTTTAAATTACAATTTAGAAATACAATTATTATTATTATTATTAGAAGTAGTAGTAGTATGAATGATAGGTCATAAAACACATAATAATATAATATAATATAAATTTATCTAAATTAAATCTATTATTAATATTAAATCTTTAAATTATTTTAGAGTAATTATAGCATGTCACATCACAGGACATTGGTGAAACTGCCCTCATATAACATTTTAATCTACAAAAAAAAATGGTTCCTGGCATATGCGTGATTATATTCCTATTATTCCAGTGACTTCACATCATTCTTTCTTTTCCTTCCTGTTCAATGCACCATAAAAATAACCCTAGGATGAAACAATGCCCTGGCACTAACACAATGGTTCCATAAAAATGTTTAACAAGCCTCTTGTCCTCTGGACCAAATTCAGTGGTAGACATTCATCAGCAGCCCAATGACTAGCCACTCATTCCCATTATAAATGATAATTTTCAGCATGGACACATGCTTCACATTCTAATTAGTCACATAACCTTGGCCTTGAGACAGCCAACACACACACACACACACACACACACACACACACAAACTAACCAGCCATTTGTCTCTGGCGTAGATGACAGTATTGAGCATAGACTCGTAGAAAAGACAGTAGCCCATCCACTCTGAAATGATGATGTCCACCTGATCCACCGGCAATTCAGTCTCCTCCACTTTCCCTTTAATGATGGTAATAACTGCAAAATGCACAGAAAATTGATGAACATAAATTAGTTTATTATTATTTGTATTAGTATAAATTATAGTATATTAGTATAAATAATACATGGTCATAAAATAACACATTTGATTAATTATTATAATTGCTATCTAAATTAGATAATAATTTATAATTATTATCTAAAATATAAATGGATGAGCTGATTTTATACTATTTAATTTACAATTAAATATTAAATATGTTTAGATTTTATTCTAAATAAATACATTTATAATAATAAAATGACTCCAGTTTTACATTATTATCAGTCCCTAATGAATAAAATCAAGTCTCATCCCACATTTTTTGTTTCACTCATAAATGCGTCACAGAAATCAAATGGGTTACGAACCCAGTATATTTAGGCACAAAAAAGAATGGCAATATAAAGCTACATTGATTGATGGGTTTCTTCATGATTTTCTCTCTCTCTTCTTTCCTTTCTCCCATCCTCACCATTTTTCCCATTTTGCAAAAGGCAAGTTGCCAATGTCCAATTGCCATGCCTGTGTGTGTGCACTCTAAAAAATGCTGGGTCAAATATGGACTAACCCAACTTTTGGGTTAAAATTTTTATTTAAAAATTTAACCCAACAGCTGGGTTAGTCCATATTTGACCCAAAGTTGTGTTGAAACAACCCAGCATTTTTAGAGTGTGTGTGTGTGTGTGTGTGTGTGTGAGTGTGACTCCAGTGACTCCTCTCTCACGCTGACTCAGGCTTCTCACTCGCCTGCTGCTCTCCAGTGTTAATGAGAGCTGCTGTGGACAACTAAATAACTTCTGCCATCACACCACAAGAGGAGGGTGTCAGCTACAGGAAGTGACTATGCTGTTTCCTGTGTTATGGAACTACTCTTGCCAACAGGAAAATGTATGACTCTTCTATTCCACACATGAACACAGATCAGACCTAAACACTGTGCTTTGTCCTAACAGGAATGAGCTGCGGATTGTAAATCTTACCATTGTCCAGGTGATTTGATTTGATGATTTTCTCTGAATACTCTGATATACTGGAACATTCAATCTATTAAAAAAAGATAATTAGCTTAGTTATATTAGCATAACTATCAAGATGATTACATTATTCTTAAGTGATATGTATGCAAATTAACCATATTAGAGGTCTGCTAGCCGACTCGACAGTTTTTCATGCATAACTTGAGATTTTATATAAAGAATTATTATAAATATTTTGTGGAATATACTGTTTGTATCAATCTGCTTGTCTTTGTTTGCATGCTCCAGGCTGACTGTCAGTCTATGAATTAGTGGCAATGATGTTTCATTGACTCTTTTTGCAAATTACATTGTTATGCCAGTAGGTAGCGAAAAGTCATTATGAGTGAGTTAATGATTCATTCATTCAACCGATTCATTCATAAACTCTTATTCATTCCGGAATTAAATAAGTGACTACTGTCTTTAAGGGTCAGTCATTGAATCATTTACTCAAGTGATTCATTCAAAACCACTGATTCATTCTGAAACAAAACAAGTGACTACTGTCTTTATGCGTGAGTTATTGAATCTTTCATTCAACCGATTTGTTCAAAACCACTGATTCATTCAGGAACAAAACAAGTGGCTACTGTCTGTATGCTTGAGTCATTGAATCTTACACTCAACCGATTTGCTTAAAATCACTGTTTCATTCAGGAACAATTTAATGACTGCTGTCTTGGGTTTGTGCGCTTGCGCGTGCCTCAAAAGAGGGCTTACAATGACTTACAAAGATACATAACAGCTAGAAGTGTATGCACTACTTGCTTTATGCAAGCACTATATAGGATAAATCACTTAGTTAAAGTTAAAGTTACTCGTCATCAGGCTACAGAAGAATACCATAATTCCTCCGTTCAATTAGGCCTAAGACATCGAGAGTCACGCAGACCTATAACAACCCAGCCACAACACATAATTGCGAATAACATGCCTTACCTTAACGCAGAATCGACTGGGTTAGTCCATATTTGACCCAAAGTTGTGTTGAAACAACCCAGCATTTTTAGAGTGTGTGTGTGTGTGTGTGTGTGTGTGAGTGTGACTCCAGTGACTCCTCTCTCACGCTGACTCAGGCTTCTCACTCGCCTGCTGCTCTCCAGTGTTAATGAGAGCTGCTGTGGACAACTAAATAACTTCTGCCATCACACCACAAGAGGAGGGTGTCAGCTACAGGAAGTGACTATGCTGTTTCCTGTGTTATGGAACTACTCTTGCCAACAGGAAAATGTATGACTCTTCTATTCCACACATGAACACAGATCAGACCTAAACACTGTGCTTTGTCCTAACAGGAATGAGCTGCGGATTGTAAATCTTACCATTGTCCAGGTGATTTGATTTGATGATTTTCTCTGAATACTCTGATATACTGGAACATTCAATCTATTAAAAAAAGATAATTAGCTTAGTTATATTAGCATAACTATCAAGATGATTACATTATTCTTAAGTGATATGTATGCAAATTAACCATATTAGAGGTCTGCTAGCCGACTCGACAGTTTTTCATGCATAACTTGAGATTTTATATAAAGAATTATTATAAATATTTTGTGGAATATACTGTTTGTATCAATCTGCTTGTCTTTGTTTGCATGCTCCAGGCTGACTGTCAGTCTATGAATTAGTGGCAATGATGTTTCATTGACTCTTTTTGCAAATTACATTGTTATGCCAGTAGGTAGCGAAAAGTCATTATGAGTGAGTTAATGATTCATTCATTCAACCGATTCATTCATAAACTCTTATTCATTCCGGAATTAAATAAGTGACTACTGTCTTTAAGGGTCAGTCATTGAATCATTTACTCAAGTGATTCATTCAAAACCACTGATTCATTCTGAAACAAAACAAGTGACTACTGTCTTTATGCGTGAGTTATTGAATCTTTCATTCAACCGATTTGTTCAAAACCACTGATTCATTCAGGAACAAAACAAGTGGCTACTGTCTGTATGCTTGAGTCATTGAATCTTACACTCAACCGATTTGCTTAAAATCACTGTTTCATTCAGGAACAATTTAATGACTGCTGTCTTGGGTTTGTGCGCTTGCGCGTGCCTCAAAAGAGGGCTTACAATGACTTACAAAGATACATAACAGCTAGAAGTGTATGCACTACTTGCTTTATGCAAGCACTATATAGGATAAATCACTTAGTTAAAGTTAAAGTTACTCGTCATCAGGCTACAGAAGAATACCATAATTCCTCCGTTCAATTAGGCCTAAGACATCGAGAGTCACGCAGACCTATAACAACCCAGCCACAACACATAATTGCGAATAACATGCCTTACCTTAACGCAGAATCGACCACAGAGTCCAGCGTTTATATTTTTTCTACGAATCTTTGAGTTAACGTACTAAACATGAGTGGAATTTGCACCGCAGCGCCTCCACACCTTGATGCTCATGACAAGAATAGCATGTATAGTTATCTTTATTTAAGTGATTTAGGTTTAAATCGCCGTCATGCATGAATGAATGATATTTTTGCAATTTAACACATAATAATCCACAATGATCACATTACACAAAACTGAAATTGCACGTCAAAATAACACATTGTCAATATTTTTTGAGACCCCCCAAAATTTCACAAATCACGTTTTCAGGGGAGCCCATGTCTTAAGGGGAGCCGAGCTCCCCCTAGCTAGTGTAAAAAAAGAGTCAGATCTGCAGTAATGCCTGCATGTTGCCCTCTAACTCAAAGCTATTGTATATAACAGTAAACACACTTGTAATGAGTAATTTGAGTCCTCACCCCATATACATGTTTGGCTCCTGCCTTGGCAGCAAACATGGAGAGGATTCCGGTTCCGCTGCCCACATCTAGAACTATCTTATCCTTAAAGATGTGTTTATTGTGGTACATGGAGTTCCTATAGGTCAGTGTCCTCACCTCATCCTTTAGCATTTCCTATTGAGAGGGGAAAAAAACAACTTTTAGTCAGACTGATGCAATTAGTTTTAAATTTGACCCTAAAATATTTGATCAATAGAGTATGGCTGTACATATTTTACTGGTGCAGGTTTGAGAATTTGAGTCCATGACTTTTATTCCTCGTTTCCTCACCTTTTCTTTTGGACTGGGCTGTGGAGGACAATATATAGGACACAAAGCGTAGTGTCTCCAGGATTCTTTTTATAGAGACAGGTCTCCATTTAGCCTGCTGGGATTAACTGATACACATCTTTCCAACCCCCCCTCTCCCTCCACTCTAATTATCTCTCCTTTTCTTTCTCCCTTTCTCCATCTTGTTATCTTACTCTCATCCTTCTTTTTCCTGTTATCAAGAACTGTGTCAACAGTTTGACCCTCATGCTCTAAATATGCAGGTATCAAAGGTGTTCTCTCAGTTCTTTTTGAATTAGGTTAGAAGGTGTTTTTTTAAGTTCTTACAATCAGCTGCATGTGATAAAAGTTCTATAGCAGAAACAATTTTCTGATATTTTTCTACCTTAAAGCAACAGAGATGAACAATATAAAAACACACTTTCATCTTAGGTTAGACTAGCATACTTTTCCACTATGCTTGATGGACTCCAGTTACCTCATGAATACCAAAGTGGGCATAGGAGTCAAAGTAGTAGTCCCGTGATGTCATCTCTTCCGGGTTGAGTAGCTTGGCCATCTTGCCTCGGCCCGGGCAGGCAGAAAGCGCAGAGACGTGCGGCGTGGGTGGAGGATGAGGAACATGATGAACGGACGTCACTGGCTTTGGTAGCGGAGATGGTTGTAAGGACTTGGATGAGGGAGCACTGGAAATATGCTGCTGCTGCTGGCGCTGCTGGTCAAGACAATAGTATAATGATAGGCTCACTGTCATACATCACCACTTACTGGACGCATTTGCCAGACAGTTTTATCTAAAATAACTCTTACTCCGACTTTAATCAGTTTGTGCACTCTTTGGGAATCAAACCCATGACCTTGGTGTTGTTGCACTGAATGATTTTTTTCTGCAAATGTTTAAGTTAGATTTTTTTCAAGGTATCATTCAATGTGATATGTAGATGGATGGATGGATGGATGGATGGATGGATGGATAGATAGATAGATAGATAGATAGATAGATAGATAGATAGATAGATAGATTCAGATTTGTACATATATTTTTTTATATGAAATAAATAAATAAACATGCCAAAAAAGCAATTAAAAATAGACAGTGTTCTAAAAAATATGTGTGAAAAACAGTTGAAGCAGATGGACAAAAGGCACCTTTTTCTGCAAATGTGTTTTTTTTTTCAAGATAGATAGATAGATAGATAGATAGATAGATAGATAGAACAAACGTCAAAAGCAATTGAGAAGAAAAATTTGACAATTTTGTAAAAACTGAAAACAATTAACAAAGCAGATGGAATGGGGGGCACTTTTATGTCTTGTGATTTTTCTTCACCTTGCTATTCAGGGCTTGTGTTATTTAGTGACCTAATAACAAACGTCAACATTAAAATGAGGTATGCAAAGGTGAATA